GATATTTGTGTGATGGCCTGCGGACCATTTGATTATTGAGGATGAGGGGAAGGGGAACATGGGCCATTCGAGAAAAAAATAAAAAAATGTCCTTCTGCAAACTGATTTCAAGAGGAAAAAATCTTGCAAGGAAATACATCGGGGAAAAAATCGAAACCCACACAGGTCATGAACAAGAAAAAAACAGAACCCATATTAGTTTAGCGTCCTTAGCTCCCACGAGTATCCTGTAGCTCAGTGGTAGAGCACCTGGACTGGTAACCAGAAGGTCATAAGTTCAAATCCTGTTGGGAGTTCTCCGATTTGTTTTGTTCTAGACGTCTGTGTCACTGACTGAGAAACATCTTTCTCATATATTTATCACCATCCAATTTCCATCAAGCAAACGAGGCTAAGTGCAAAAATGAGTTTTATTTTCATCATTCAGACTAAAAAAAAACATTTAATTTCACATCAATGGCGTTGCACTCAGCTTCGCCTTGAAACAAAGGCTTGAGACAACTCGGAAACGGTCTATTATGTTACAATATGTCAATCAAACTTCCATTAAGCTTATTATATGTATCAAGTTCGTTCGTCAATAGTTCTAGATTTGATTAAAGTGAATTGAGTCCTGAACTTATGTGGTGAGCTTATGCGTATTGAAACATGGTGGCAGCGGCGTAGCTGGTGTGGGACCCCGCTAGAGTCCTAGAGAGAGAGAGAGAGAGAGAGAGAGAGAATCCAATGTCCTACTCGGAAGAAAATACAGGGGCATCGGGGGCCTCACAAGCTTCACCTCCTTTGCCGTCTCAGCCGAGCGTCACAATGCAAGCTGCTCCCCTTATACAAGGTATCACGCCGCCAAAAACTCTAGATACCACTACTAACATAGCTGAAAACTGGAAACAGTTCAAACAGATCTGGGAAAATTACGCTATCATCACAAATGTTACTGCACAAACGAAACAGTACAGGATCGCGTTATTCCTTCACTGCCTGGGTCCAGATGCCATGAAAAAGTACAATGGAATGCAGTTCGCCGGTGAGACGGACCGCCGCACCTTATCCAAAATTATTGAGAAATTTGACGAGTTTACTATCGGAGAAGTCAACGAGACCTACCAACGCTATACCTTTAACGGACGAAATCAGGGCCAAGACGAATCCATCGATGCATACCTCACTGCGCTAAGATCTCTAGCTAAAACATGTAGATTCTGTCATTGTCTCGCCGACAGCCTGTTAAGGGATCGCATTGTTCTCGGGATAAACAACCACGCTCTTTGAAAACGCTTGCTTCAAGAGAGAAATTTGGATCTTAAAAAGTGCATCGATTTGTGCAGAAGTAGTGAAGCTGCCTTCTCCCAAATTTAAAATATTTCAGGAGCATCTAGCACAACAGCTGACGTACATCGACTAAAAGTACAGCCAACAAAATCTCAACAAAAATATGATCGGAACGCAAAGCATCACAAGCACCAGAAGCGAAAGATTTGCAAATTCTGCGCTGGGAATCACCCTCTGAAAAAGGAGCTATGTCCTGCTTGGCAAAAGCGATGTCAGAAGTGCAATGGCAGAAATCACTTCGCTACGGTTTGCGAAAAGGGCCAAGCGCGTGGTGTGAATGGACTATCTGAGCAACCTGAGCTTGACAGCGATGAACACGATGACAGCTATGAGTCTAGTGATTACGAATTCCTCGTCGTTATCGCAGTGGAACCATCTATGTATGTATGTATGTATGTATGTATGTATGTATGTATGTATGTATGTATGTATGTATGTATGTACGTATGTACGTATGTATGTATGTATGTATGTAAATCTTTATTTAAACACGGAAACTCATCAGTTAAGCTTAAGTTAAAAACTAAAACTAATTACAACTGCTTTACATGATTGCCGTGTGGGAATCCGATATATCAGCTACCTTCTTGATATTTCGCTTAAAATGCTCAACGGATGCGGCATTTTTTAAGTTTTTGGGCAAGTTATTCCATAACATGGCCCCGCTGTAAGAGAAGCTTCGTTTCAAATAATTGGTTCTTGGTTTGGACAGGGTCAGCCTTCCCTCAGAGTTTCTTAAGTTGTAAGCAGAGTGACGCTGAGAGAAAAGACTTTGTAGATATTCTGGAGCAAGGTCATTCATGGTTTTATACATCATTAAGGCTTTTTGTTTCTTTCGTCGAAGAGATAGCCTCTCCCAGCTGAGGGTGGAGAGAAGGTGGTTTGAGCTCGCATCAAAGGGTGATTTAGTAATAACTCTGGCTGCACGATTCTGTAATTTTTGGAGCTTATCACCCAAGTAACCACTCAAACAGTCCCAGACGGGGCTGCAGTAATCAAAATGAGGCATAATTAAAGCGTTATAAATTTGAATTGCAGTTTCTTTGGATATAAAGGGCCGCACACGTTTTAGGGCGCCTATAGCTGAAGAGACCTTCTTGCAAATCCCTTCAACGTGTTTACCCCAAGAGAGTTGAGCATCTATGGTAAGACCCAAGGATTTGGTATGATCGACTCTCTTGATAATTTGGTCATCAATTCTGATTCTACATCGTCACATTGGGCAGATAGTCTTTGTCTTGATCCAGTAATCATTAGCTCTGTTTTAGCAACATTTAGACTGAGCTTGTTAGCTTTCAGCCAACAGCTGAGGTTATTTAATTCAGGGGTTAGAGCTAGCTTAAGCTCTGTTAACGTCTTAGCAGATAAAGTAAGGTTGGTGCCATCGGCAAACATTCTTGGTACGGCGCCCCATGCAATTGAACAAACATCCGGCTATGCAAGAGAAATATACACAGAGATGATGATCAATAACAAGAAAATTAGATTGCAGATCGACTGCGGAGCTTCGATAAACATCATCACTAAATACTAAATGTCACACCACAAGAAGTCACGTAACACCATCAAATAAAACCCTGAAGATGTGGAACGGAACAGGAATGAAACCCCTCGGAATTACCCGCTTGAAAGTCACGAATTCTAAAACTGGAAAGAAGGATTCAATTGAATTTGCTGTTGTTCCCGATGACTTAACACTGCTGCTAGGTGCACGTACAGCACAATAAATGAAGCTGATAACTGTGCATGAAGATCATTTTGTCTCTGTTCCGCCTCCGCAAAAGAAATCATGTGAGGACATCCGAAGCATTGGAACAGCTGACGAGCTAGTCCGACGCTATCCAGAAGTTTTCGCAAAAGATCTGGGAACCCTACCTGGCACAGTCCACCTGAGAGTTGATAGAAATGTCGAGCCTTCCGTAACGCCGTCGTGACGGATCCCCACAGCACTGAGAGAGAAGTTCAAAGCTGAACTAGACCCCTTAAAGAATCTAGGAGTACTAGCAAAAGTAGATGAGCCTACGGCATGGGTGAGCAGTATTGTTATTGCCACAAAGAAGTTAGGCGCCCTTAGAATATTTATAGATCCGCGACCGTTGAACCAAGCCTTAAAGAGAAACACATCAGCTGCCAATCCTAGACGACTTAATGCCAGAGCTAGCTCGAGCAAAGATCTTTTCAACTGTTGATCTTACCCGAGATACTGGCACTGCGTGCTTGACGAGGAGTCCAGTCTCTTGACTACCTTCGCAACCCCCTTCGGAAGATACCGGTGGAAAAGACTCCCATTTGTTCTATCAGCATCAAGCGAGATCTTCCAGAGACGGGTGAGTCAACTTCGAGAAGGACTGGAAGCAATACTTTACATCACTGACGACATCCTCGTATATGGAGTTGGTGACACCGAAGATGAAGCTCGTCGTGACCACGATCGTAAATTAGAGGCATTACTACTCAGATGGGAGAGCATGGAATTGCCCTCAACAAAAACAAGTTGAAACTGCGGATTACTGAAGTGCCATTTATGGGTCACCTCTTTACCAAACAACGCCTCAAGATAAACCCGGACAAAGCTAAAGCAGTCTTAGAGATGCTTCGACCCGAAGACGTGGAAGGCGTGCAGAGGCTTAACGGATTTGTCAATTACTTGTCAAAGTTCCCACCTCGCCCAGCAGACCACGAGCCTATACGTCACCTCACACGACAAGACACAGAATTTAACTGGACGGAAGAGCAAGAGAACGCGTTTAGAGAAGCGAAGCGTCTTGTAACATAGCTATTACGACCCGAAGGCCGAGCTTGGAATCCAGTGTGACGCCAGTAAGAAAGGCCTAGGAGCTGCCCTCCTGCAAATAGGCAAACCGATCGCGTACACAAGCAGAGCGCTCACTGAGACCGAACAACGATACGCACAGATTGAGAAAGAAATGCTTGCGATTGTATTCTCACTTGAGAAATTTAACCAGTACACCTACGGACGCCACGTGAAAATCCAAAGCGACCACAAGCCGCTGGAATCCATGCTGAAGAAGTTTCTCGCGTGTGCGCCAAAACGCCTTCAAGTTATGATGATGAGACTTCAGAAATATGATTATGAGGTGCAGTATGAGAGTGGCACGAACCTGTACTTGGCCGATACACTCTCTAGAGCGTACCTGCCGACGACCTTACATCCGACTGGAGCTGAATTTGAGAACATCAACGCCACCGCGTTCCTTCTTGTATCCACCTCTAGACTCCGAGAAATCCAGCAACTGAGAATTACGAGATCCTGCAAGCCCTGAAAGCTGTCATATTGCGTGGCTGGCCAGACGATCGTAGTCAAATACCAAAGCAGATAACCCCCTACTTTAGCTTGAGGGATGAGTTGTCAGTACACGACGGAGTGATATTCCGCGGGCAACGAATTGTAGTTCCTGTCAGTCTACGAAAAGACACGAAACGAAAGCTGCATGCCTCACACCTTGGTGCAGAAAGCTGTTTACGTAGAGCACGGGAAACCATATACTGGCCGAACGTGAACGCTAAATTAAAGGAAATGATCCCAACCTGTGAGACCTGTCGTAAGTACGAGACCAGCCACTAGAAAGAGTCTCCGATACCTCCCGAAGTACCCAGTCGACCATGGACTATGAGGAGTGGACCTGTTTGAACTAAACAAGAAAAAGTACATGATCACAGTAGATTATCGCAGCAATTTCTGGGAGATTGACCGCCTCACCAGTACCATCTCATCAACTGTAGTTTTGAAGCTGAAGAACCATTTTGGTCGCTATGGTTGCCCTGATCGCTTGATCAGCGACAATTAATGGTCCTCAGTTCGTGTCATCAGAGATTCGTAAATTCGCAAACGATTGGGACTTTGAATACAGAACTAGCTCTCCTGGGAACAGCAAAGCCAACGGTAAAGTGGAAACAGCAAAGAACCTCCTACGCAAAGCCTTGAGTGCCGGAACAGACCCATACATCGCAATTCTTGATTACCGCAATACTCCCACACAAGGAATGGAATCAAGTCCTGCTCAACGCCTAATGAATAGGAGAACAAGAACACTCCTTCCCACAACGAAGACTCTTCTCCAACCCAGAGCCCTACAGAGTGAGCAAGATATCCAACAACTGAATAAGCGACAATTTCAACAGTCTAGATACTACAATCAGCATGCTCGTGACCTATCCACGCTCAAAGAAGGTGATGTCGTACGTATGAAGCCGTTCCAGCTGGGAAGTAAGGAGTGGAAAAAAGGCACGATAACATCGAGACTTGAAGAAAGATCATATATGGTGCAAACACCCTATGGAGACACCTATAGAAGAAATCGTTACTACCTTAGGAAAACCAAGGAAAACCCCGATCACAAGGAAGCGTCAGATATAACACCTTGTAGAAGCCCAAGGATCAGCCAACACCTGCGGGGCCGAAGCTACCGTCCTCTCCTGCCACTGCTAACTTGAGAAAACCACAGACAACAAGACAACAATCGCACCCAAGACAGCATTAGACGACCCCCCTCAGTATCTGAAAGACTACGTACTGAAATGATTATATATGATTAAAGGACATGCCATAGTTTAACATTATCTTTTTTCATTACGATTTGTTTTTTACTTTGATTGATAGGACTTGGAGAACATTATAGTTTCTCATGATTAAGTTGATCAGAGAATAGACAGTGTGCCGAATGATTAGAAATGATCGTTTTATGAAGAGACACTTTTCAAAACAGGAAGGATGTTACAATATGTCAATCAAACTTCCATTAAACTTATTATATTTATCAAGTTCGTTCATAAATAGTTCTAGATTTGATTAAAGTGAATTGAGTCCTGAACTTATGTGGTGAGCTTATGCGTATTAAACATACTCAATCCAGTTTCGATGCTTGTTTTCGGAAACTGAGAATCACTCTCGGAACATCAAGGCCAACTTTAGAGCTCACTAGTTAACATGGAAAATTATTGTCTGATTAAATTGCTACGTACTGCCGGGTGTCTTGACTTAAGGACTCTGTGTCTGTTATGGGGTTGTCTCTTTAACGTAGCACAAGCTAAAACAATAATCTTCAAAGTTTAAAAGAAATGGAAGGCGTGAATAGCTAACTGGTAAACTTAATCCATTGTCTATCGAGTTTTTTTTCCTTACCAGTGTATGTAGATAATACCGTCTGAAAGCGTCATCTGACTTTTTCTTAACTTTAGTGTCGATCGATCCAGGAGTGGTCTAAAAATAAATGTGTTACCTTTCAGGATCATTGCCTTCATTGTCAGCATCTTCAATTTCTTCTTCCTCGCCTTCTTCATCAACTTCGTCGTTCTCTACTGCTTCCTCAGGAGCGGGTAATTTCGTCTCATCTTCCTGGTTTTCTGTTTTTTCATCTGATGCAACAGTTGTTATCAGAACACCAAGGAAACAGGCGACAAGAGCAATCACAGCAAAGGACTTCACAGTGGCCTACAATATGACTTTCACCCCAACAGCAAGGACAGCTATGCTTAACTGTGATGGTAAACTCAGAATGAAATTTGGTACAGTTCGTGTTTTAATATGTAGTTTTTTTACGCTCTAACCTACGTTACGAATGTATTCTTTTTGGTGTTGGTTTTCACATTACGTCACTAAAATTCAAACTAAAAAACTATCGTTCCTACCGAGATTTTACTTTCACAATGTATTAGAACAGCTGAAAACTAATTTTCATACAAATTTTCGCTTCAAAAGGGTTCTTGGTTTTGTGATAGAGTACTCTTGAATTTCTAAGCTTTTGCGTGACGCGGCATTTACATGACGGCCAAGAGAGCTGTCATGAAGGTTAAAAAAATCACTCATTTCTGGAAATTTTGCTGTCTAAACAGTTCGTGTCTTAGAAAAAGTATTACTTTAATGTTTATGAGTTTCTCGAAGTATAAATTCACGCTTTTAAAGCAAAACTCGGTAACAGATATTTCTGTTGGTTTCCGTCCGCCATGTTGGAGCTCATCCAGGTGAGCACCAGCATGGCGTCTCCATACTGAATCTTTATAAGTTTGGGTAAAACATATCTTCAGATATCTCGTATACCAAATATTCCTCTGACCTGAATCTTGGCGAGGGTCTTTGTATATGTCCCTCTTTTCATTTCCCAGATTCTGGACTTTATCTATTGAACGGTTTTGATTTTGATTTTGATTTATTTTGAATGGCGTGACACTGAAAACCAGCAATATGCCAATTATCAATAATTTGTGTTTAACAATTTGAAAACAAAATCGGGCAACCCACTATATAGCTTTAGTAACAAAATGCTCGAAAAAATGAACCTGTGACACTTTTCTCACAGAAAAGATCTAAAATCCTAATAACCTCCAGGCTAAAATAAACACATCTTAAAATATTAGAATCTTATATTACTTTATTTTCTTAAAAATTTTTTTGAACAGTTCATGCCAGGAACGGTTACACTCTCTAACATCTTTATTTATGCTATTTTGGTAATACAGGAAGAGAGCAAGTGGAGAATGCAGTATAGAAGGAATATATTATTGAGGTTACATAAATTGAGGAACTGTGTTTAAGTGTTCGAGTTTGCAGCTTCTCATTTACATTAAGGAAAGGAAAGGAAAAAGTAAACTATAATAGTACAAAAAGTGTAAATTATTAGAGACCGTAAAATGTCACGTGACCACGGCCTTGCGGTCAGGTTTGCAGTTTGCAGTTCATGCACGTTCGAACCGCAGGAAGGGCTTCCAGCGGTAAGTGATTTACGGCAAGGTTTTTTGCCACAAAAAATTGTACAGCCTCGCGTTTAAAGGTATGAACTAGCTTTATATATCCGTTTGCGATGTATTTGTTGGATTTTTGATCTCGAATCAATGGATTATTGCTGATTTTTGGGCGATTAAAGTGATGCACTTCGACTTTATGAAAACAACATGGCGGCACTAAACAAAGAACGCATAGTTCAAATCAATTTTATATTCCTTTCTGCCGCACTAACAAAGGAAAGTATTCTGTTCCAATCCAGAGTTAAATTGTTTTTTCTATCTTGTTACTGAATTCATAACTTAACTCAGTCTCTCTTTAGTTCCAATTTTTTACGTATCACTCCGCGAATTTCATTTTATTTTGCTTATTTCTTATAGACTGGGGAGCCCAGGCTTCATAAGCCTTCTGGTTTCTTCTGGGCTCCCTTGCAACATTACAGTTCCTATATGTATTCTTGTATTGTATTTTATTTTGGCTAAATAAAAATGAACTGAACTGAACTGAACTGAACGCCTTGCTAAAGTTTGAAATCTCGGAAACGCGAAACTGCAAACGCGCAACTGCGGTTTGCGGTTTGCGGCTTACCTGATGCTAAGGGTCTCTATTGTCAAAAAGACAACTGCAAGGACTGATCAGACAACAAAGTTACAATATTTCGACTGGTCAATACCAGTCTTCATCAGGTTTATGAAGGAAGATCACGAATTTTTGGAAATATTCGAAAATATATGATGTAGTTAGTACAGCCTGGCATTTGCCAAATAGTCACTAAAATTTTAATGGTTCCGAACCTTCCTGAAAGTTTCGAAATGATGAATTTGAAACACGTAATTATTACCTATAGCTAGTAATAACCGAAGGTTACGGAGTGCGGTCTACAACGAAAGGTCAAAACGCTTTTGCTTTAGCGCTGTGCTTTGCGTAAAATTTCTCGTGAGAGATGGTCAAAACACGCGTGATCAGATAACGAGTGATAGAAGGTCCAAACGCGCGTGATCAAAGTGCTTGCTGTGCATTGCATGCATTCTTGATCTTAGTGGAAGTCCAAATGCTGGCTATATACATGCGACGCATGCGTAATAACAGCCTGGAGATTA